GCCGTTGCCGCCGTTGCCGCCGTTGCCGCCGTTGCCGCCGTTGCCGCCGTTGCCGCCGTTGCCGCCGTTGCCGCCGTTGCCTTGCCTCCTCCGGGCCGGTAGGTGCCCCCAGGCCGGCGGCGGCAGCGCTCGCAGGGCCCCGCTCCGCTCCGCTCCGCGCCGCTCCGCCCGCAGGTGGGTGCGCGGGTGGGGGGGTTCGCGGCGGGAGGGCGCACGGGGGGCTCGTCCCGGCGCTTGCGCGTGATCTGGGGGCCGTTTAGCCTCTTGCCCCCCCCCTTTTTCTCCTTGCGCGCAGGGGGAAGCCGCAGCCCGTCCCTGCGGCCGCGCATCCTTTTTCCAAGCTCTGCTGGCCCGGCTGGCTCGGGCCCGTGCAGGCGAGCGGCCGTTCCTGGGCCTGCGCGGGTGCTAGTGCAGCAGCGGCTGCTGTGGGGAGGGTATCGCCCGGGGCAGTGCGGCGCTGGGATGCAATGTATACGTGTGTATTAATAGCAAGCGGCGGGCTGCGTTGTGCGATGATGTGTTCCAAGGGACGGGGAGAAATCGCCTGTGCCAATAGGTGGGGAAAGCGCCTTGCAGTGCAGAGAGGATTTTCCTGGTCCTGTAGCGGTCAGGAGGCCTTCTGTCCAGCATCTCTAGTCCCTCGTGTCTCATCCGAACTCCTGCTGCCTTACCCACTGCTCTTCTGCATGAGGCAGCACCCTGAGTGCTGCCTGTGCCAACAGGAACACCATGTTGGAGCAGTTAATCACATCTGTATTTCATCTCCTTCTGTTCCCGGGGCCCATTAAAGCRTAATGATTTTGTTTTTCCAGCCTCCTCTGCCATGACTTGTGCTGCAGGGAACAGGATGAACGGGAAGGGTGGGAATTAGAGCCTGACTCCTCCTCGTGGTGCGTGGCCTTTCCATGCTCCCCAGCCCAGGCAGGAGTCCAGGGGTGGTCAGTGGTGTCCTCTGCACCCTGCAGTGTGACACAGCTGCCCCCAAAGCACCAGTCCCCTGAGTGCTTAGGGACCCATCTTATAGAGAGATCCTGTAGATACTGGTGAGTGGTAGGTATAACATGGTTATATATTTGTGGAGATATCAGGCAAAGCAGTGCGCTCCACAGATGTTTATGTGCTGTGACTTGATTCTCACAGCATGTCCAGTGTGTCTGAGAGGTTCTATGTTGCGCAAGGAAGGAGAATATATGCAAGAAATGCTCCTCCAGTGGAAAGCATTTCTTCTGTTCAGAGTGGAGAGGGCAGGTGCAGTCAGCGCACTTTGTGTGGGACATGGCAAGTTCTTTATGGGCATAATTCCTAACTTCTTTTTCACCAAAGTGCTTTGGAGGTGTGGGTGAAGTCTGCAGGAAGGAGAGTGAGCTAATTGTTGCTACCGCTGAAAGTTTTCCTTAGGAAAACAAGGGGGGTTTTCAGCAATGGTTTTTCCAGGGTGCCCTGGAAGTGGMTTGGTGCTAGAATTTAATTCAACATCAGGAGGAGGTGGTCATGCGTCTTTTGCCTTGTCACTCTTTTGCAAGTGCTGTTGCAGCACTGGGGAAGGTGTGTTACCAGTGAGCCTAGCAAGACAACAGTGGCAGTTTTGAGGGCAGAGGAGGAGGCCAGCAAACAGCATAGCAGGAGGAGCAGGTCAGGTGGGTGGCACAACAGACCATTGCAATGCGGGCTGTGTGGACAGGGAAGAATAATCAAGGGACAGGAGGAGCTGTGGATCAAAGCCTTGTTGGTAGCTGTGAAGCTCATCAGTTTGTCCTGTAGGCAGTACAGATGAGCACTAGCAAATCCTGCCCGGTCTCTGCATCATAGACTGGTTGGAGAAGTCCTCAGAGGTGCTTTCTCAAGTTCTGGTTTGTTTTCTGTTCAAAAAAAAATTATTGCCTTAAAAGATCTTTGCTTTCAATCTGTCTCCTTGTAGTATAGGTGACATAGGTGGGGTTTGCATGTTGGTGGCTGCTATTGAGTCTGGCCTAATTCTCAAGGCTTTTCGTGAGAGGAATTGCATTTTTCCCAGCACCATTTATTCTGTCATAGGTTACAAAATGGGGATTCAAAGAAGCTACCATAAGCTTTTCCACTGAGTCATTATGTGACCCAAAACAGTCATGTCTTGTGACAGAGTCCCCATGAGAAACTGTTCATGTTGGCCTTCCTTTGAAAAGTGATTTGAATCCCAAGTGCTGCATGGGAGTTAAAATTTGTATTGTAAAGTCTTCATTTGGATTGTTTTAGTATCTAAGAGTCTGGAAGAGACATTGGGACTTCTGGAAGTAGTTTTTCACCTGTTCCTGTGTTACAATAGTGGATGTCTTTGAATAACATCGTCAGGAGCAAGGAACGCAGGAAATAGTGATGAGCACTGTACTGGGATCGTTACTGGTGAAATGTTCTACTGGGTTGCACAAACAATGCCAAATGCCTAGACTTTCTGATCCTTTTCTTCCTTTGATTCCTGGATCAGGATGCCGTTTCCTCTGCCTCTGCGTGTAGCCTGCAGCCTGCTTGCTTGGCTGTGTCTCTACGCTTGGTTCTGCCATCGCTACAAGCACCGGAATTACGAATGGAGCTGCAGGCTGGTCACCTTGACCCACGGCATCCTCGCTACCTGCCTCTCTGCTTACATTGGCTTTATTGATGGTCCCTGGCCTTTAACTCATGCAGGTATGTAATAAAAGTCAAGGGCCCAAGTCCCCACTGATGGCACCAAGTAGAATATTCCTATCATGTTGGTAGCCCACCCCATCGAAAAATGTTTATTGCAATGGTCTGTGGGATTCTTTGTGATGGAAAGCARTAGAGCAATGAAGAAACTGGTTTTGTGTTTGGCTAGCATAATGACCCTCCCCACCTGCAATCCAGCCAAGGGTGTCATCACGTTTTGTGGGCACTATGTGTGTGGAGCCGTTAGGCTGACAGATACAGTATTATGACTTCTCTGACTTCTGCAGCTGAGCTATTGTCAGTACAGGATAATTTCAGCCTGGCAGTGCTGGAAGCAAGTACCCTTTTTCTGTTTCAGACCCTGCCTGACTGTTGCCTGTGTGCTTTAAAGCTAAGGCTTGTTTCTTTCTGTTCCAGGATCGCCAAACACAACTCTTCAGGTGCATGGGCTGTGCCTAAGCTTGGGCTACTTCCTCTTCGACCTCTGTTGGTGTGTGTACTTCCAGACGGAGGGTGCCCTGATGCTGGCCCACCATCTGGTGAGCATCTTGGGCATCACAGCATCACTGGCGCTCGGCGAGTCGGCCGCTGAGGTCAACGCCGTCATCTTTGGCAGTGAGATCACTAACCCGCTCTTGCAGGCCCGCTGGTTCCTGAGGGAGATGGGCTGTTACCACAGCCTCACAGGCGACCTCGTGGATTTCTTCTTCGTGGTTCTCTTCACAGGGGTGCGGATTGGAGTGGGGGCCTGGCTGATGTACTGTGAACTGGCCTCTCCCAAACCCAGGTGGTACATTAAGTTGGGTGGCGTGATCATGTATGCTGTCTCCTGGGTTTTCATGGTCAGCATCTGTCGCTTCGCTAGGAGGAAGAGCATGAACAAGTACCACGCTTGGAGGAGTCGTAGGAGTGAAGAGTTCTACTTGAAGACCAATGGACATTTGAAAAATCACTGAGTGGATGCTGAGCACAACCTTCCTCGAGTTCATAATCTGGCAAGAGGGGGATCATGCTTGAAATGCCMCTGTAGGGAAAGGAGCCAACGCACATTAGCGGTTCTGGGAGCCAATTTTTTCTACGGCCTAACTCCATTGAAATCTATGGAGCTTTGCCATGGATTCATAGTATCTGCAGTGCTTGGCCTGGCAGAGACAGGCTCTGAGTGTACATAAATATAAACTAAGTGATATTAGTGAAAGAAGGGCTAATTTTACAGACTAAACAGAACTAGGTCAACAGTGCAGGTGTAAATAGCAGCGTTAGTAGTTAACTCCTTCAGCACTAGTACAGTTTTGAAGGAGAGGAGGAAATAACACTAAGTCTTGATGTTCAGTGTTGGGTGCAGTCTGGAGTGGCTGTGTTTATACTCTTAGGAAGAAACATGTTTTAGTGTTTCATGTGATGTGGGCAGATGTAGCAGTTGGGATTGCTGTCTCTTCCACCAATTTGTTCTGTGACCTTGGTCAAGTCACTCCAACTCTGTGCCTAATTTCCCCATATGTGAATTTGGGGTGATGGACCTGATACATCTGTGCTATGCACTTTCAGACCTTTACTTGAGAGGTGCTGTTTTAATGCAAAGTCATGGTGGTCATCTGCACTTTGTTTGTTATCCCTACCTTTCTTTTGGGAGAAATAATTTTGGTGGTTGAGTTAGAATGTGATTTAAGAAAGGACAGTATTTTAGGTAGGCCTTTATTTGCTAGCCTTTATAATTGCTTTTAATAACTTATTAATAAGTTAGGATTTTCTTTTTTGGTCGTGCTCAGCAGCTCTAATCAACGTTGGCACCTTGCAGGACTAGGTGCTTTATGAATACACCCAAAGACAGACACATCTGCTGACATCAAGTGCTTCTGTGACTTTTTCTAATTGCTTCATTAATGACTGTTAAAACCTTTTCCATACCTTCGACATACTACCCTGAGCTCCTTGAGGGACCAGTGCTCTGAGAAGCCCCATCAGGATTTGCGAGTAAATGATTCTCTGGCTCATAGGGCCTAGCACTATTTGCCTGCACAATGCTCGTTTTCTCTCTGCTGTGTTTATCAGCCCAAATGCAGACATAGTGTGGAGCAAGCTTGTGACCAAAGGGCATGTCTAGAGATTCAGAGAAATACTGTCTGCGAGCTGCTAGTGGAGAGTGGAGTGTTTTACTGCAGCGATCTGCAAACAATCTGTACTTGCTGGTTTTGGCAATGCAAGGGGAACAAAGACCACAATCTGATTTGTAGTAAAGACCACGTACTACTGTTGTCTTGGAAGCCTCATTACAGATTCACATCAGTACATCTGAATCCAGGGTTTGTACTAGTGTTTGCTGGGAATAGTGATAACTGTAAGTGAAACGCAAGTGTGCATCTTCAAAACATGTTGTTAAGGTGGAAGGGCTAATGTCCCTCAAGGTCCTTACTCTGTCCTGTTGAAGCCACAGGCCTCATCTTGACTTTGCTTTCCTTTGATTTTTTTTTTTTTTTCAGCCTGGTGAGTAAAGAAGTGCAGAAAAGTGAAGCTAACTGGGGAACAGCTCAATATTACTTATTTAGTCACCTTAGCAGGGAAAAAACTGTCTCCCCAATTTGCAGATACTGTTTATTTCACTGTATGTTCTTAAGCATTGTTTCTTTGCTGCTGTTATTTGATGATAACTCTGAGCCTCAGCACGCGGGTTCCAGTGCAGCTCAGACTGCAGTTCTGCTGTGAGCCTGGCCTGTTGCAACCAAAGACCTGAAGAGCCCAAAGGGCTGCAGACTCACAGAGCTGAAAAACAGATGAGCTGATCCTTAAAAGGGAACTTGACTCATTTTGCACGGTGCAGTGATATCTGTTGAGCCTTGAGGGGAGACGAGAAGGGCTAGCTGGGACTTGTTGGTTCTTCCCCAGCTCTGCTGTGGGCTGTTTCAAGGAACCTTTCCACCTCAGCTTACCCACCTTTGTGGGTATTGCATTTGCCTACCTCGTGGGGTGTTTTCATTTGTTATCGTTAAGCCATCTTTGATGCATGCCTGGTTGTCCCTSTCAGGCTGTGCTCTGTGAAAGTAAAATGCCATTGCTTTGAGCAGAGGACTTCTCGCTCTAAGCTGTGGTCATTATTTTCTAACCTGAATGTGGCACTTGCCAGCGCTTGGTTTGCCTGATAAGAGCATGAGTCCAAGAGGCYTTGTGGTGGTACTTAACAGGCAGGAGTCAAAAGAGTAAGGTAGATGTGTATCTAAGGGTCCCTCCTGCTGCCTCATGTTCAGGTGGACTTGCAATTTGAAGATAGGGGCTCTGATGGGTTTTCCCACCTAAGCACTGCAGGACCTCTTGGAAAATTTGGACTCTGACCTCTGCTGTGGTTAATGTGCAGCTGTGTGTGTAGTTACTGCCCTTCTGTGCAGGTGCAGTAACTTACGACAGTTAAGATGACTGCAGGTGTGTGTGAAATACACATCGTTTTTAAGGGTGTTTCAGAAGATATTACACTTAACAGTGGAGTGGTTCCTTTCTTCAAACTGGGGGAACTTGGTTGGGAGAAGTAGAGCTCTGTGATCAATGCTGAGGCTTCAGATGCTAAACAAAGCAAAGGGGCAGAAAAGAAGGGCTTTGTGAGGTGAAGGAAGCAACAATGTCTCAGAGAAAGGCTTTGTAGCCTGCGAAGTGGGATCAAGTACAGAAACCGGGGGGTAACGCACAAAACTTTCAAGGTGAGTGGAGCAGAGAATGTGGGGACCCTGTCCTCGGGCTAGTCCATGATGACTAGAGCAAGTTGTGGAAGTAAACTGCAGAGCTAGTGTGAAATACTAACTTGTGTTTGAATTACTGTGTAATAGCAACTAATGTTCCACCAGTGAATGGTGTTAGATGCTTTGTATTATGTTTTATAAAATAAAATTTCTTCAATGATAATGAGAAATTGRATTTCCTTCTTTTGATGCTGTTCTTGTATATCATATAACTGTTGACAGGCTTAGCACTGTGATAGCTACCAATACACACAGGACACCTCAGAAAGAAGTGATTTAGAAAGTTCTGGCAATCCTTCTAAAAGCATTTCTTTGAAAGGGTACTCCTAAAATAGAAAAAGCAAAGCATTTCTTCCAGAGCAATGCTTCTTTTCAGCGGACAAAATAAGAGATCCAGGCACTGACAAGAATTTCTCTGGACCAAACACTGCACAAAACCAGAAGCAAAGAGAAGCCCAAGTTGAAATCAGCAGTTCTGAAAATATATGTAGCCAAGTCTTCCTCTGGAAAGATTGGTAGTGCTMTGTGCCCTGTTGGTAAAGAGCTAAGCTGCCTTGCTCGTGGTCGCAGCGTTTTGCCAGATGGTTAGCCTGCCAAAAGTCTGTATCTATAAATAGTTAAGCCAATTTGGTTGTTTGGATGTAACCCTTAAATCTACCTTAGGCTTCTTGAGCACTACAGAGCAGCTGTGTAGCATTGAACCCTCTGGAGATGCCAGCTTGTTTTATGTGCCCAGTGAAGTCCCCATCTTGCGGTCTGCATTAGCTTTATTCCCAGGATGTTATTTAACCTCCAAGATGGTCCAGAAGCAGAGAAAAAAGTGAAGTGTCATTTGGAATGTTTGCTTGAGAGCTGCAAACCTTCAGGATATGTCAGGGTATTTAAGAACAACACTGCAGAATCCATCCTTAAGTTGATGAGCAAATGTGCTTCCTGTGAAAAGTGAAATCCACCCCAACAAGTATCCCAATATATCACATTTTACATCTTCCCATTATTTCTTTAAAATCCATTCCTTTCCTGCTGCCTGCCTTTCTACTTATTGCTATAGTGGAGCTCTATAAAATTAACCTTTCCTTTTCATTTCTGCCCTCTTTTTCTAACTGAACTCCTTATCTGTTTTTGAAGAGACAGCTATTTTATGATATTCAGGGCTTTATTCCCTTGCTACAGTGGCCCAAGGACTGATGAAAAAGCATAGCAATTTAAGTCTTTGCAGTCTAGACTAATACCACTGCTGTCAGCAGGTCTGTTTCTTGGTTATAAAAGATGAGAGAATATTTTAAGCTTCATGGAAGTCRTGGCATGTTTCTGATACTTGCAGACTTTGTGTAACTTGGCTAGAAGTAAAATAGCAAGTCTGCTGCTATTTCCAAAGAAATCAAACTTCAGAGATGGGGAGCGAATTGGTCAGCATTAGCCTTGTGTTGCATGAGCAATTTCTGGGCAAGAAGTAATTCTCTTTTGGTTATCTGACTGTACCAGTGCTTTTAGTCATGTTAAGCATTTGCTCTAGTAAATCAGTATAAAAGCAGGTGTTTAGTTTTTGTCAGTTTGGTCCTGCTTTTCTCAAAGTCCTGGTAGAATGTTGCATCTGATAAATGACTTAAAGAAGCAACTGGGAAGATGTACAAGGTGCATGCAAAAGCTTTTGTAAAATAAGAGTAGTTTACAGGTCATTAATTTTATGTGGATAATSAGAATGTGACAGTTTTTATAGTTTTTTATATGTCACAAAGTACAGGTTTTCCGCAAAGCTTGTATAATGTTATGCAAATTGTCCATCATGTCAAAAGGTTTGGATCTGTTCAGCATAACTGACAATCTTGAAATGTGATCAGAAAAAAATGTTATTTTCCATCTCTTTGGATTTTATAGTAACAAAAAACACTTTGATTTTTTTTTCCAGTAAGAGGGACAGTGATTCTAGCAGAAAGCAGGAAGAAGTCTCCATGACAATGTACGGCAGCTTTGTCTGCCCTTACAAATGTTGCTGCCTTTAAGTATGGTCATATGGAAAGAAAGCTTAGTGCTTTAAAATGCTTACAGTGATGTGGCTTATCCAGGTTTAGAAACTGTAAGAAGCTGTCATAGCAGAACCATGTTTTAGATTAGGCTCTCTGTGTCTCTCCTTGTGTTTTTATTGGTGTGACAGTCAGCTAAGTATTGCATTCCTATACAAATAATGTAAAAGCATAGACCAGCTGTGCTTCCAGCATTTCCAATGACCTGGATGCCATGTAATCTGTTTGTCTCTGCAGATAGCAAGTCATGTGCCTGTTTTAAAGTATAAAATGCTAAAAAGCTTTGAAGTTGCACAGTAATGTGAACTTCAGCACAAAGTCATGGCTTTTCAGGTTAGAATTGCATCAAAATGGCCTTTAGTGGCCTTTTTTACTGGCCATCATTGTATTGGTTTCYGAAGCAGATCTCTTCCAGATTGCAGCAAAACTGGTTAGTGTCAGACCAACATCTGGCCAGAAAATCTCCCTCTTCTGTGGATGGCAGAGGAGGCAGATGCAGCTGGGTTTGGTCCAGAGAATTTTTGAAGACAGTAATAAAATCTCAAAGGTAGAATCTCAACAAGTAGCAAAATACCACATGCATTATGAGCTGGCTCAAAGAATCTCACTCCACAGCGGTTCCCAGGAGTGCCAAGAAAAGCATTGGCCTTTAGAGTTCAGGTGAGTTTGATGTGATTGACTTGCAAGCCATTGCAAAAATCAATAAAGCAGGCAAGTTTAAGTTGTGCTAAGCTTGAGAGCTAAGCCAGATTCACCCATGTCCTGACACAAGGGGCAAAATCTGTATGAGAAATGAATGTGGGCAACTGTACTTCAGAGGCTGAGAAAGCTTGTGGAAGGATGTCAGCAGCTGCTGCTTTATCCCACAAAGCCAAATGGTAGCAAGAGCCCCCTCTTTCAGTGAGGGTCTGCCGCCCATGTCATTAAACATGAGAAATGTATGGGTTAGTAAGACTTGGTGCTGTGATATCGGAGAGGGGGAAGCAGACTTTTGGCTTGACAGCGTGTGGTTCAACTATGATGAATTCCTGCATTACAAAGTAAAAACAGCTGGGAAGCTGCTGGTTGAAACAAATGGATTCACTTCATTTTCTAGCTGCTCAACTTCAGAGCATCCCAGCTCTTTGCTTTCTGGAGTGCCTGGCTGGCAGCCAGGATGGGGAGATGGTCTAAGCATCTTACTGGATTTATTTGGCTTCCCATGACAGCAGTCCTGCCCAAGCTCTTCTAATTTCTCTGCCCATCTGCACTATTCTCAACTCAGTAGCGGCAAAAGTTGTGGGCACCAAGGATGCATTAGATCTGCAGTGTATGCTCAGCTCAGCTGATCTGGAGATGTGCAGACAAATGCTCACAACATGGTAGGTATAACGTGTACATCCTGCTGGAGGCTTTGAACTTGCAAATAGGTGCATACATTCAGGCATGGTGACATCATGGGATTTCTTTCACTGGAAACCAGGCTGATGCCGGCCAATGTCCTGTCTGTCTTTCAGAGACGCAAATCTCTATATGCATTTCAGAAATCAGCTATTAGTTACCCCTGGGAATCACCTTTCCTGCATTTCTTCTTCAGTTGTGCAAGGCTCATGGTGGCTGTTGCCTTCCAAAAGTAGCTGTGTGGGAGGTTTTTTCCTCCCCCCCCCCCCCATACAATAGGTAGTTTGCATAGTGATTTATGGTACATCTAAAGAACAGAATGAGACACTGGTACATTCTGTCACCAGATAAYGGATCACCTGTAAGGGGCAAAACACTGGAGAATATAATTCCAAGACTATAACTTCCCAAATCACAAATCACATAACTAGGAGTAGAAATAAGGTTAGAAAAGTCTTAATCCATTTAATTTATATCATGGAGGTCAAAGAGACACTCAGCTAAATCATATCTCGGCTACAGCACACAATTTGATGAAGCTGTCTGGTCTTGACAAGTTCTATGGAGGATTCATTGCACTCACAGGTAAGTTCTGTTGGCTGAGTAACCTATTGAAAATGTTCTCATGTGAATTTTTAATCCAAAAAAATTGTATGTTTGGTTACATTCGCTGTTAGTTTACACTTAGGCTGAAGTTTTAAGTATCCTAGTTCTGAGGCAAGGCAGCGTGACAGGCAGCTGCCATCAGGGCATGATGAGCGTTCGCTTACTTCATCCACCTGATTGCTCTGAGCCAGCAGTGGGGCAAATGAGACTGAACCGACTAGTGTCCCAAAGTTCTGACAAATCTGACCCTGGTTTGAAACGATTCTTTCAAACATGGAGTGTGAGAGGATAGGGCAGGACCTCGTTAAAACGCGCTTAGTACAAGATGAAGATGAATTGTTATACAAGGATGTTCCGGCAGATGGCAACAGGTCCTTGGGTGAGCTGCTGGTGGGAGGCTGGAAAACTTGGATCTTTCCAAAATAAACTCAGGAAAACCTTTTCTGTAAGCATGCTTTTTCAGAAGACTCGTAGAAAGTACCTCTAATGCTCTCTCCTTTTCTGTGCTATCATATTCTTTAAAGCAAAGAAAGGGGTAACTGTTCACAGCACTGAGCATTCTTCATGTGCTGTGGAACAGTGCTGCCTTGCTCTGGAGATGTAGACTGAGTAGTTCAGTGTGTGTTTTTCGCTCCAAACATATATGTATGTTTGATAGTACTAACCATAGATCAAGGTTTAGGGCTTGATAGCTACCAAAGTGAAAAAAATAGCTATTTTGATTGATATCGCACAGTGTAATTGCTTATTAAACCTTCTCCCCCATACACACACACACACAGAGGATTTCACCTTGTGAAACTGCCCAGGCTACAGTGGTTTTATAAATACGCATACCTATTAACACAAATATTCAATCAGCTCATGATTAAAACCAGCATTTGCAGAGATTTATTGTTATTGTACCACAGTCCACTTCTCAATTGCTTTTATTAGTGCTTTTTCTTTTTAATCGTAGTATTAAACAGTGAAATGGGAATGCGGCCCATTACGACCAAGAATTAATCTACTGAGCAATATAGTATATGGGTTTTATGTTGCTCCTATCCCACTAATGTAGTTTCTTGTGATGTTTCTTTTACCAATACTGAGCAAATTCTTGGGCAAGTGGTGAACAGTGTGGCTCCACTGACTTTGATGGCAAATTACAGCAGCATTAATTTCTTGGTCTTGCATTTCATATATCTTATATATGTACGTGGGGAGGACCATTCAAGTTCTCTTCTGGCTAATTGTTGTCATTATTTTGTCAGGTACAATAAAATATAATTGATACAATAGAAAAGCACGAAGGCCTACCTAATATGCAAATGCTGGGCATGGTATGAAACAGGAAGCCTCTCAGGAACCTTCCTCTTTCAAGGCACTGGATTTGGAAATCAGTTACTAAAAAGGGCATGTACTGAAGGAAGATGCTAGGAGGTTATTTATTCACCCCCTTAAAACCAGCCACTGTTGCACACTGCGGCGCGGTTGCGTGTCTGGCAACCCCCTCTTCTTCTCTTTCAAGCCCTCCCCAAAAGGAAACCAAAAGAGGAAGTGTGCGTGCTTTATGTCTATGTGAAGTATCATCCAGAAAATGATTTCATCTCGCACTTCCCCTGCTCCCATTGTACTTGCTCGAAACAAACTCATCAGACTGTCAGTCTCCTGACTTCCTGATTCGCATTCGCTCGGTTCCCAGGAGGGAAAAGCTCTGCATTGTGGAGTGACACGCTCCTGGCTGTGACCTAAAGCAAGGTACGTCCTGTCATCCTAACTGTGTCGGAGCTGGGCCCACCTTTCCAGAGGCCTGTTTTCCAGCATTTCCAAATCTGGTGGCCTGAGCTGGAAGAAGCTTATCAAGGTAAGATCTGATCACAGGAGAGAAGGATCATGTACAAGATGGCCAAGGGCTAGCTAAAAGGAGAMCTAATTGGTCTGCTAGTTTTTGGTAGGAAAGACTGATGTGGGGTGTTCAAATAYAGGCAGGGCCATGGCAGACGCTTCCTCCAGAGCCCTGTTGTACGGGGCAAATGTGCTGGGCTCCTAGCGAGGCAGCAGCAAGGATGTGTTCTGTCGAGCAGAGATGGATTGGAGAGAGGGAAATCTATTTATRATGCATTTCCAATGAGAAAACACTCTCTGTTTAGGAAGCAAKATGCAGCCTGCTGCTCGCCTTTTCAGACTGGTGCTTTAATTTGCTGTGCATTTCTGTAAAACGCAACAAAATCTGCGCTTGGCTGGGCAATGCTGAACGCTGGGCAGGGTTAGTCCGTTCCGCCCGCCCCGGCGGGGCAGGGACGGGAGAACCGGGCTGTGCKCGAGGCCGCGGCCGCTCCGCCGCCCGCGGGCGGGGGAAACGCGGCCCCTCGGGGGGCGGCCTGTGCAGAGGGGCCGGGGGACACCCGCGAGGCCGCCCGGAGCGAAGCGACGCGCGGAAGGCCCCGACACTCCTGCGGGCAGCGAGCAAGGGGCAGGCCGCAGGCGCG